GTGTTCAAGGCCAGGCTGGATGAGGCTTGGAGCAACCTGGTCTAGCGGAAGGGGTCCCTGCCCATGGCCGGGAGGTTGGAACTGGATGATCTTTAAGGTCCCTTCCAACCCAAACCATTCTATGATTCTATGATTCCTGCAGCTTTCTGGAGAGGTGAGTTGGCTCCCTCGGGTTGCTCAGAGCCCCACCACTGTGTGCTGCTTGTTGTGCACTTGTGATCTGTGGCACAAGGTGAGTAGCGAGGAGGCTGGGACTCTCCAGCCTGCCTTTGGCATCGGGGAGCCAGGCTGAAATCTGGGACTCCTGTTTTGAAGTGGTGGAGCACAGGGAAGGCTGTTCTGGAGTGGTACTGTTGCTGAGCCCCAAATGTGTACTGCGAGTTACTTGATGTCTAAAACCCATTTCCTTCTGTCTGGGAATGTCCATCTGTCTTCACAGTGTGTGATCCAAGCACGCAGCCTTCAACGGCTTCCTTAAGTTACTCCAGTCACCTCCTGCAGTGTGAGCCATGCTGGCAGTGCTGCCCCCTGCCCTTGTCACACAGCCCTGCCCAGAGCGGTGCTGGACTCAAGAGCCCTGTGGGGAGCAGAGCAAGAGTAAGAAACAAATTGGCTGGTATGAATGGACTTGATTTAGATATGCCAACTAACAAACAAGCTCCGGTTCCAGTGGAGGGTCAGGAATGCTTTAGTGCAAGAGCAGCACTAGAAGTAGATATTTAGCAGAGGGAAGCAACCAGGAGCTTCTACATCAGCTCTTCAGACTGACTTTTCCCACCCGTGAAACCTCCATGTGGTCTTAGCCTGAGGAACAATGGAGCCAACTGGCCTGACCTCAGGAGCTGTAGGAGAGCAGAGCCCTCCAGTGCAGAGCAGCCAGGCGGCGGGCGCTGCTGTGGCTCACCAAGGAGCCTGAGGTACCGCTTGTGTTTGCAAGAGAGCTGACCACACGAGACAAGCTCCAGGCCTCCCTGATGTGCAGAAAGCAGCAGCAACCTCCAGCCCTTGCTAGTTCCTGGGGCTGCTCCTTCTCAATCCTCTACCCATGTGACTGTGAGGGGCGAGCACAGCATGTGGTCAGCCTGGCTCAGAGCTCTGCTCCAGCCCTCTCCTGCCTTCCGTCCTGGAAGACGCCAAGCTGCTGAGGAAGCAGCATTTGCCTGGTTTGTCAGGCCAGTTCGGAGCTGGGGACAGGGGCCCTGGTGCCCACTGCCTCCAGCAGCCACCTGGGCTGGAGCCCGTGTCCTGTTGTGGAGCTGCAGACTTCATGCAGGTGTTGAGGACAAGTCGACACTCTCTCTTCTGCCCTGGTGTCACAGGCCCAGACAGGTGGGATGGGACTGCTGGCCCACTTCTTTCCTCCTTCTTCACATAGGCAGGAGAGGTCATCTGCAAATTCTGCCTCAGAAGTGGCTGCCCAGGGAGGCAGCTCATCCCTCTAGCAAGACTCCAAACAATAGTGACCCCCACCAGGATGTTTTTCCGTGTTCTGCTGTGAACTTACATCTTATTTCAAGGTTGAAAATGTGTTTAATTTTCAGCTCCAGCCACTGGATCTCATTTTATCTTTGTCGGCTAGATGGTACTGTGTTCCTTTTCTCAGGCACTGGAGCAGGCTGCCTAGGGAAGTGAGGGAAGTGGTGGAGTCACCATCCCTGGAGGTGTTCCAGAAACGTGTAGACGTGGCACTTGAGGACATGGTCTAGTGGGTATGGGAGTGTTGGGTTGGTGGTTGGACTGGATGATCTGATAGGTGTTTAACAACCTTATTGATTCTGTGATTCAGTATCTTTGCCAAGTGTAAATGGCCCCTGAAGTGATCTGGTTCCCATGCAGCCTCCTGACGCATGGAATAGGAAACAACTTTACAGGTCAGATCATCGGGATTGTCTTCTGGTCTTCGATCATTTGGAAGCCTCTTGTATGAACTCTTGTCCCAGACCACTGTGCTGTCCCCATAGGATGAAGTTCAGAGCTGGCTGTAATGTCTAGGTAAGGCTCTAAGAGCCATGCCAGGACCAAGCCCCTTCTGTGCTTCTGTGTGATATTTTTATACATCAAGGGGCCACATTAACCTTTGGGCTCAGGATTGCACTGAGAACTCATAGCAGTTCAGTTTCTGTGATGATCCCTCAGTTTTTCTTGGAGACAGAGCCTCCCATGCTCTGCATTTACCCTGTGCACTTCCCTCCCCCTGGCTTGCTGAGCTGCAGGCAGAAGCTTTGCAAGGTCTCCTCCAGCTCCCAACCCCGGCACTGCGGTGCCCGAGTTGCCTCATGGTGGTGCCCAGCCTGGCCCTCATGCCCGGCCTGGCCCACGGTGCTCACTGGCTGCCACTTGCTGTTACAGGCTTGTCAGCACCGGTGCCCAGAGGCAGGAAGGGGAAGAAGATGAAGAACCAGATGCTGCTTCCTGAGATAAAGAATGCGGACTGGCTCGCCACCTGCAACCCTGAGGTGGTCCTGCATGACGACAGCTACAAGAAGCACCTGAAACAGCACTGCAATAAGTGAGTGTGGGAGCCCATGCCAGCTTGTGAAGACCATGGGCTGAGGGTCTTTAGCATGGGGGGGTGGGAGGGAGCTGCAAAGGGCTCCCAGCCCATACAGGGTCACCATGCTCTGGCTGCCGGACCACCCTTGGATGCTCCTCCAGCTAACGGGAGCTGTGTCCTGCGCAGCAGACCTCTGGCCCCAGAGCCCCAGCAGATCACAGGGCTGGGTGCTGTGGCATTACACCACATGGTCAGGTCCTCGTATGTGGGGACACACGGTGTTGAGCAGGTTTCCCTGGCCTTGCTGACCCTCCGAGCTCCCCATGGTGAGGGCTATTGGCCCAGGCCCGAGGCTGGAATCTGAGCATCTGTGTGCTAGTGTGCATTCCTCTCTGCTGCCCTGGGACAGGGTTCTGCTGCGGGTGCGAATGCTCTACTACCTGAAGGCTGAAGTGCTGGGGGAGGCCGCTGACAAAGCCTTCAAGGGGACCCCTGCCAGGTAAGACCTTACAGTAAAGCCCCACAATGCTTCTCAGGGAGGTGGGGGGAGCGCTTGAGCACTGCCACGGCTGCCCAGCCCAGACGCGTCTGAGCTCACCACGGCTCCGGGCAAGTCAGACCCTGTGGTCAGATCCCCAGGTCTTCCTCGGCAGCCCTGTTGGGACAGCTCTGAGGTGGCAGCACCAGCCTGGTGGTGGTGAGGACACTCAGGGACACCCTGCGGGCAAATATCTCTGTGTGCTGCCTGACAACAAATTGGCCTTCAATTCAAAGTGAGAGCCTGCAGACTTTGCCAGGTTCCCAGGGCGAGTCCTCAGAACAGAGCATGCCCCATCACTGTGGCCCCATCGCTGTGGCCTGCAGTCCCTTCCAGCACTGAGGACAAGGCGCCTGACAGGCTCTGGTAGTGCTGCTGATCCTGCAGCCTGCCAGCTCCTCACCTTCCTGCAAAGACTCAGCTCTCAGTACTTCAGAGGTGTGATATGCTGAGCTTAATTTCCTATAGCTGCTGCCAGCCCCAGCATAGCTCCATCAGCACGAGTCTGTGTGGAGGGGACCTTGCAGCCCACCCCACCAGACGTGCTATTCTGCTGGGGCTGCTGGGTTCCAAGTGCCTTCCCCCAAGAGATGCTGTTCAGATCAGATGGGATCTCCAGTCCTCTGGTGTTGCTCGGGAAGGAGGGGAGAGGGGCTCTGTAGCCTCTCCATGTCTCGAGAAGGAGGGGGAAGGCAGCAGGTTGCATTGGAGCCAGGGCTCCAGCTCTCTGACTGCTGGGAGAGATGCGTGCATGTGTGCCCCTGCCCAGCAGTGCCCAGGGCGCTCCAGTGTCTGATGAGGCTGGGAGAGGGGTGTTCATGCCTTGTCTGCCACAGGGAGCTGGACGTGCTGCTGCCGGATATTGACTACGTGGAGATCCCAGTGGACTGGTGGAATGCTGAAGCTGATAAATCCCTGCTCATCGGCGTCTTCAAGCACGGTGTGTGCCCAGCTTGTCTGGTGGGTGGGGGTGTGTGAGAGGGACCCAAGTGGAGCACCTGGCCAGAGGTCCAGTGCCCAGAGGGGATGTCGCATGAGTGCAAGGGAGCAGAGCCGCGGCCGTGCACCCTAGCCACACAGGGCCAAGGCAGCTCTCCCCGGGCTCTCGTTGGGGTGGGTGCACTGTGAGTGCCCAGCATGGCCATGCCTGGCCTCATGGCAGACTCCTCTGGTGTGCCAGGAGCAGTGTGTAGCTGCTGTGTGAGGGCAAGGAGGAAGGCACAGAGCCTCCCCTGGCATCCCCAGCCTTGCTATGAAGTCCCGCCGCAGCTTCCTGTTTGCTCCCAGCTGCAGCCCGCTGTGGGTGCTGTGCACAGCTCTCCAGGCATTGCGATGCCTCCTAGGCAGGCTGCCCGGTGGGATGGCAAAGCTGACCTTTCTCTGTGGCTGCTGCAGTTTTGGGAAAGTGTTCTGAATTTCTGGGGGTGAGAATTGCTCTCACAGCAGCACAGACAGAAAGTGAGGGTTGGGTGGGGAGCTGTGTCCCAGAGTAGGAGCTTCACCTGAACCAGGCTCAGGCCTGGCTTTGTGCTGTCTTTCTCCTTCATGATGGCCTGTGGTGGTTGGCAGGTTACGAGAGGTACAATGCCATGCGGGCAGACCCGGCGCTGTGCTTTCTGGAGAAGGTGGGCATGCCGGATGAGAAGCTGCTCTCCGCGGAGCAGGGCGTCAGCGATGGGGCCCAGGATGCTGCTGAAAGGTGGGCAGGGGATGGAGCCAAGCTCTCGGGGGCTGTCTGGCTCACTTCTAGGGGCTGTGTTAGCAGTGGGGCAGTGCTGGGGGGTGAGCTGTGCACAGGGAAGGGGAAGGAAGCAGACTGTGCACCTGAGCACAGTGGGTGGGGAGGAAGGCAGGGAGGAGCTGGCTCCCTGGGATGAGGCGTGGAGGGATGGCATGAGCACCAATTCTCCTCTCCCTCCTGCTGACGATTGGCACAGCCAAGTGGGGCTCTGCTGCTATTGCCAGGGACTAATTCCCTCTCTTACCCAGGGGCAGCATGGAAAAGGAAGAGAGTGGTGGAGAAAAGCTGGAGGGGCTGCCAAAGCAGGAGGTGAGTGGGATTCATGGTGATCAATGCATATCTGCTGCTGCCAGGCCTGTGCTCCCGCCCTGCACTGCAGGCTTGGCTCTGCCAGCTCTTCTGTGGGGTTCCAAGGAACTGGTGGTGCCAGTGACCCTGCTCTGGGCCAGCTGCGCCATGCCGTGCCATGCCGTGCACAGGCTCTGCCCCACGCTCTCTGCACCGTCCCTGCTTTGTGGAGCACAGCTTCTGCTCTGTGTGTTTCCTGCAGGCCTGAGCAGCGCCTGCCCCCTTGGGAGCTCATTGGGATTGAGGGCTGGGGATGGCCAGGGGTGCTGGCTCTCGCACTCGGGTGTCTGAAGCCACATGAGGGCCTGGCAGAGGCATCAGGAGCATCCCAAAAGAAACGACCCTGGAGAGGAGGAAGAGCACTGAACGAGGCAGCACCTGAGGGTGCAGGGTCCATTTGAACAGTGGAGGTTGTCGCACCAGTAGTGGCCTGGGCACTACAACCTGTGTCACTGTGGTGGATCTCCCCTCTAGGCCCAAAATGGACAGCACTGCCCCTCTGAGCTGTCACCTCCCCTGCCCATGCTGCTCTGATCCCGTAGGCAGCCCGGGGGCACAGGACATGCAGCCCTACCTGTCCTGCCACCCCGCACCCTGCCAGGGCTGGGTGGGCTGCAGGTATGGGGGGCTGTCTGTGAGGCTGAAGAGCCCTCTCTGATGATTTCCTTCTGCAGGACATCGTGGTTGCTGGGGTGGGCGAAGCCGGTGAGAAGCAGGACGAGCCAGCGGCAGGGGAGGCCATATCTCCCGCGGCACCGCAGCAGCTTCCCTGGGCTGGCATGGCACAGCCAGAGCCTGAGCGCTGGGGCAGGCGCTGCTGGGCAGGAGGGGCACACAGCTGGGCTGAGGGACACGCTGCTCTGTGGTAGGGGGTGAGGTGGCTTAACCTGGACAGGCTCCTGTCAGGGCCCTCCCATGCAGTCACGTGTGACCCAAGCAGAGTCCCCAGAAAAGTGTTTCCAGCCAAAACCAGCCAGGGGGACTAGAAGCCATTAGCCTGCCCTTGTCCATGCAGTTGCCTGCATGAGATGAGCGTGTAGGGTCTCTGCAGTGGGCAGTGCGGGTGGATGCTGTGGGCAGGATGTGATCCCTGGTGTCCAGTGTGGGAGGGGGAAGGCGGGAGGTAGCTCTCAGAGCTGGCCAGAGACGTGGGAACCAGTGGCTTTGAGCGTGTGTTAAATACTAATGTCCTTGCTGATGTTTGAAGCCCAGGATGGCTCCGACTCAGACAGATCCTGCTGGCCTGTCTCATCTGCCCTCACAGCCAGACTGCGGAGGCTGGTCACTGTCTACCAGCGCTGCAACCGCAAAGAGCTGCCTCCCCGTGCCGAGATGCTGGTGCCTGGTAACCATGGATACTGGCTGCAGGATGAGATGTTCAGGAGAGCCTCTGAAATGGACTCGGTGAACAAAGAAATGCAGAAAAGGTAATGCAGCAGAAGGTCCTTTCCAAAGCTGATTTAAACCAGTTGAAATCCTTGCCCCCCTGGATTTTCCCAGGTAAATGTCACCACAGCTGACTGTGGAGCCAGCTGCCTGGTGACAGAGGTGTGTGGGTCCTTGCTGGGTAAGGAATGCTGCTCCCAGCCGTGAGGCAGCCTCGTGGCTCCGGCAGCCAGCCCAGCCAGGCGGCAGCCTCCACTGTAGTTGGTGAGTAGCAGCTGGTGGCACAGTGAAAGGAAGTGAGGGGACAGCTGTTCAGGGTCAAATCCATCACATGCTGGGCCAGGGATCACCCTCCCACCCCAGCGGAGCGGGTGCTGCTGAGCCATATTGTGCACTTGGGACACACTGTGAATGAGGGGGTGATGGGTGGGTGCTGTCATAGCCCACATACATAGCCTGTCTGAGCCTTGTGGCTCTTTCACCGCCACACTAGCCTCCTGCTTGTGGCCTCAGGAGTCCAATGGTAGCATATCCTGGCTGTGGCATGCTCCCACCTCATTTGGTCCCGCTAAGTGGAAAGATTGTGGGACCATCCTGCCACCCTGTGTGGCTCTCTGCAGAAACCGTGGAGGATGTGCATCAGGGTGATGCTGCCTCCAGCACTGCCAGTCCCCAGTGTGCCAGCCCAAGGACTCCTGTACTGCACGAGCCCTCTGTGGTCAGCAGTCCTCGATGGCTTTGTCTCCATGTTACCTGTCCCCGTTGCAGACACCCACATAACTGCTTGGTATCTGTGCTGCCTGTGCACTCTGTTCATGGTCTGCTTGTATGGAAACTGCTCCAGCCCACTGATCTTCCCTCTCCCCTTCCTCTGGACCTCTTCCAATTTTACCATCCCCTCTTCAAGGTGGGGACATCAGTGGACACCACAGCAGCCTGGTATTTCCTGCTCTTTAATTCTGTGGGCGTTTTTTTTGGGGGGGTGGGGAAGGGGGGGAAGTCTCCTTACAGGAGTGTCCTGGGCAGTTTCCCACCAACCTTTAGTTTGAGGCCTTTCAACAAACTCCCCGTTGGGGTCCTTGATTTGAATCACTGACTTTTTTATCAACTTTCTTCTTGTTATTCTCCTTTTTGGAATGAAATATCACTGCAGAGGGCTCACAGCCCCTGGGAGCAGGAGTGGAAATGCTGGTCTAGGTGTAGTTTGGTAAGCTGGGATGTGCTGTGGCTGCTGTCACCCTGTCTCCTCTCCCTTAACCTCTCCCAGCTGCTGGCTGGTGCTGGCTCAGAACTGCAGTTCAGAGGAGTTGAGATTTCACCTCAAGCTTTCTTCAGTCCACAGCACTCACCATTCTCTACAGTGACCTGTTTCTGTGCTTGCCCTGCAGTTTGCACCCTGGTCTGTTTTCTGCGGCCTGTTTCTCTGTGCTCTGCTTGCCTGGGGCTGTATTTGCCCAGGATGCTCTTCACTATCTCTGTCCTGGATCATTCCTTTGAGTGATCTCCATGAGGTGAAAGGTCAGAGGGTCCAAGCCAGGGTGAAAGTTGTGCTCTAACAGTGCTGTGACTGAAAGCCCTCATCACCACAGCTGCTTTCCTTCAGTGGGGAGGGGGTGATGACACCCACCCCTGCCACCCAGGAGTCCACAGGAGTGTGCAGGGTGGTTGGTGTTTGTTACTGGGACCCTTATGGCAATGAACCCCAGTCCCAGTTTCCCTCTGGAAGAAGCTAGATGAGAGATGTGTCTGTAAAACCTTCCTTTAATTCCTGGTACAGGGAGAGCGCCTTTCCATGGAGGTGATGAGATGACTCAGTGTGGCAGGAACCATGGTGAGATAGGTTCATGCCCCTGCAGAGGCTGCTGGAACCTGTGCCCCGTTGGCAGCACAGCCAGGAGCTGCACTTGGTGTTTTTTTAAACAGCCAAGAGTTTTCTCAGCAGTGAGTGGAGAGCCAGAGGGCCTCTGCTCCTCCTCCCGATGGCCGTAAGGCAGAGGAACTCAGATTGTGGTGATTTCCCCAGTGTGTCCTTCCTGACAGCTCCCCCAAAACTGGTGGGCAGTAGCTCGATCGTCCTCTCTGAACCCTTCTGCCTGGTGCCTTTTCCATGCTGGGACCAGAAGGTGTCTCAGTGGTGTTAATGTCTCCTCCCTCCCCCACAGGTGGACCAGGAGAGAGCAGGCAGATTTCTACCGCACTGTCTCCTCCTTTGGGGTTATCTATGACCAGGAGAAAAAGATCTTTGACTGGACCCAGTTCCGAGCCATCTCTCGACTGGAGAAGAAGACAGATGAGAGTCTGGAGAAGTACTTCTACAGCTTTGTGGCCATGTGCAAGAATGTCTGTGGTCTCCCGCTGTGGAAGGAGGATGGTGAGTGGAAATTGCTTGGCCAGGGGGTGTAATAGTAGGTCCATGTAGCCAGAGATCAGAAATGGTCCTACTGCTCTCGTGGAGCAGGAGAGCAAGGGAGAAGTTCCAGGGAGAGTTGGAGGCAGTGAGACACTAGGCAGTCTGTGGGCTTGCAGAAGCCACAGTCATTTCTGGCTTCCGCCACCACGGTGCACTGGCTCCCCAGGACAGTAGGGAGGCAGGGCAGCCCTGTGGGCTCCAGCTCCTGCTCTCACAAGGTCTCGTGGAGCTCTGCCATGAAATCACAGTCAATTTTATCCAAGACAGCAACTTGTAGATGTGCAGGAGGAGAAGCAGAGAAGCAGATCACATCTTCACACCAGAGCTGGGGGTTGTTTGGGCTATCAGTATTGCTGCTTTCTTTCCAAGGTCTTTTCCAACCCAAACAATTCTATGATTCTATGCCTTGGGTAGGTGTTCCTCATCAAAAGAGCTGCACAAGTTGAGGGACTCCCTTCCTGTGCAGACGCCGGGAAGCCGCTCTGCCGGCAGGTCCAGGCAGCTCCAGCACTGCTGGGGCAGATGGAGCAGAGCTTAGACAAGACTCTGAAATCCTCTGCGGCTGAGGGCTGCTCTTGGTCCAGCTGATAAACTTGAGGGAGTTTACTCCTCTGTGTCCATTTGATGGCAGATGAATGGAAGGTGGTGGAAAAGAAGCCTTAGTGGTGGCTACAGGCAATCCACCCACCTCACCTGCCGTCTGCGCGAGAGTTAAAACTCACCTTGCCCATCACTGCCTCTGGGTAACTCTCATCAGTCTGTATGATGGGGCCTTGGCTTTCTGTCCCTGCTGTAGGTCCCCCAGACCCTGACATCTATGTGGAGCCCATCACGGAGGAACGTGCTGCCAGAACGCTCTACCGAATTGAGCTTCTGCGAAAGGTGCGCGAGCAGGTGCTCAAGTGTCCGCAGCTCCACGAGCGGCTCAAGCTGTGCCGGCCAAGTCTCTACCTGCCGGTGTGGTGGGAGTGTGGCAAACATGATCGGGACCTGCTGATCGGCACTGCCAAGCACGGCCTGAATCGCACTGACTACTACATCATGAATGACCCCCAGCTGTCTTTTTTAGATGCATACAGGAACTATGCACAGCATAAAAGAACAGTGCTTCCAGGCCCAGAAACTCTGTGCTGCCTTTACCAGACTAACTCCAAACTCTACAGTTCCCCTCTATACAGCCAGGTGGACCGGACTTGCGAATCCCTGGAGAACGAAGCCGAGAGTCAGCTTAAGCTAGAAACCGCAGACAGCACTATGTCCCAGGCTGGGGGCAGTCCACCAGGTGCAAACTGTGAAACATTCATGTCCAAAGTCCGGGACATCATGACCAGTAACTATGATGAGAGCTCTCTGCCGGACTCGTTGGTGTGTATGATGTACGAGGAGAAGGCCTGTAACAGCGAGCAGAGCTCCCTTGCCCGAGACAGCCCAAGTTGCACAGACGTTGGAAGCAGCGGTGCTAAACTCTCTGAAGGCAAGCTGGAGGGGGACGAGGATCCGTCCAGCTGTGATGCAGATGCCATGAGAGAGACACCCTTCCTAGAGGGTTTGCAGGTGGGATGCGATCGAATGGATGCTCAGAACGAGGAAGCTGAGCCTTCACCTTCTACTCCTGAGAGCGACCCTTTGCAGAGCGTCCCAGCAGAGCTCTGCGAAGCCTTGCCACAGAAGGGAGACCTCACCAGCCCTGCGCCAGTGCTGCCTGAGCACAGTGCCATGGAAGGGGTCATAAGCATGGGGCTTTACAGTCCCAGTCTTCATAACTATGAAATAAAGGTTCCTCCTGAGCAGAGGTTCATCAGCCTGCTGCAGGAGAAAGGAATGGAGGCAAAGTCAGGGCCAGGTCAGAGCCACAGCGAGGAAGATGAGGAAGAAGAGGATGATGATAATTCTGAGGCAGCAGCAGATGTTGTGGAAGGCTTGAGTGGTCCCAGGACCAGGACTGGTTGTGACCCCGAAGCTAATGAATTTGGGGGTGAGGAGCAGAGCTCTGGCCTCCCCACGCCTGAGGACACTTGTCCAGAAGACATGAATGGCGAGAGAGAGCCCGTGGGGTTGGAGACACCCGAAGGGCTGAGGGAGCCCGGGCCAGAGGGCAGGGGGGACCATGTCCTGGATGAGGAGAGCACCCTGCAGCACGCACCAGGCCAGGCTCAGAGCCAGGGTTTCAGCCTGCCTGTGCCTCTGCACAGCACCCCAGAGGCAGAGTCCCTCTGTGCTGGGGGGGAGGCCTGGGGCCGAGGGGCCGAGGGGCAGGCAGCCTGCAGAGAGGCCCTGCACCATGAGCCCCACGAGGTGAAGCAAGAAGAGTGTGAGAACAGAGATGAGGGGGAGAAAGCCAGCAGCAACCACAGTCAAGGTATGGTCCTGAGAGCTCCCTCGGGTTGATAGTCACCTCTGTCTGGGGTGAGAGGGACCTGCTGTCCTTCCCTGCAGAGCCAAAGCCTTGGGGCTGCCAAACCCCTGGAGTGGCCTTCCCTCTGCAGGAGTTGGTGTTCATATAGGTGGTGTGATTGGGGAACATAGGGCTGGTGGCTGCGTTTTCCCGCAGGGCTGGCCAGAACCCCCCACCCTGAGCCCCAGCAGCCTTTCTGCCATGAACATCCCATGGAATACATGATGCCCTTCCCTTCCTGGCACAGGGCACTGCCTGGTGACCAGCTCCTCCTGGAAAGGCATGTCTTCTCCTCCTCGCCCTCCGGTGGTATGGGGATGGTCAGGGATGGGGGCCACTGCAGTACAAGCCCACCAGTCAGCTCAGGGGAGTGCTGGCCCTTCCTGAGTAGTGTGGACTGCCTGCCGTGACCCAGAGCTGCAGTATTTCTTGGCTGGTTGGCGTGTGGAACCTTCATACAGCCAGCTGGGTGCTGAGGTGGGAAGGTGTGAGGGGTTGCTCCTGCCTCAGGAGGTCCAGAAAGGCAGGGCGTTGATGGGCTCTGTTCTCTGTTGCTTTCTCAGATGGTCCAGAGAAGTACTTGGAGGAAGAGAGTAAGAGTTCTGCTTCTGTCCTGCCTGGGGAGATCGATGACCTTCAGGATGCACGGGCACCAACCATTGCCCAGCTGCTACAGGAGAAGACGCTTTACTCCTTCTCTGAGTGGCCTAAGGTGAGTTTAAAATTAACACTGTTCATATAGCAAGCGCTGCTGTGTCGTCCTGGCCAGCAGTAGTTCACACAGCCCCAGCTCTGCCTCTTGCTCCTCCACACACAGCTCCCCACGGATGCTTTAACTCGGGTGTTCTTCCCAAGCACCCATGTCATGGACACGCCTGCCCCAAAGCAGGTCCCACCGAGCTGAGGTCACCAGGGCTGGGTTTGGCTTTAATCCTGAGATGCTGTACACAAGTCAGTTCTTGGGAGTCCCAGCCTGCCACCATCCAATTCTGTTTGCAGGACCGTGTGATCATCAACCGCATTGACAACATCTGCCATGCCATCCTGAAGGGCAAGTGGCCTTCCTCCAGCCAGCAGTTTGAGACACAAAACCTGCTGATGGCTCCAGCGGTAGCCAGCAATGCCAGCAGCAAGAACAGCTTTGCGGAGTCAGAAGCCCCTGATCCCAGCTTCAGTAATGGGGTGTTAATCTCACAGGTACAAAAGGTGAGGGAGGCTCTCGGGCAGGGACAGGCTTGGGTGTCTGGAGTGAAGCATTGCCCAGAAGTGCTCAGGAGTTTCCCAATGGGGCCTGGTTTTCACTGCCTCTTGGTGCCACTTGTGGTGCATAACACATGACTTAAGCCACTTGGTCCCCTCCACTGAGGGCAATTGGTGTGTCCCCCATGCTCTCAGCACCCCACCAGCCCTGCTCCCCTCCTGGGCAGGTGGCTGTTCCACAGCAGCTCTGCAGCTCCTGCAGCTGTAGGTGCTTCCATATTCAGTGCTGGAGCACCCAGTATGGTTCAAGGAAAAGGGGATGCTGCCCTGGTGTCCCAAGGAAAGGATGCAGGAGAGGGCACTGCCCTGTCAGTCACCAGCTCTCTCTCATCTTCTCTCGCTGTTGGACACAGCACAGAGACAAGCTGTGGGCCTGGGACCCCAGCCCGACTGCCCAGCAGCTGGTGGAGCACAAAGGGTTACAGCACCTTGGGAGATCAGTGTGAGGGTGCTCCTGCAGCATCCCTGCACAGAGAAAGAGAGGTGCGGTGTGCCCAGGGAAAGGGCATCCTTCAGGACTCCTGCGGAGAAGCAGAAGAGCCTGACCACTAGCTCAGTGTGGGTTTGGAGAGCTGTGCTCCCTGGGTGGTGTGCGAGCAGCAGTAATCCTTTCTGTGGCTCTGATACACACAGGAAGGTTTCCTGAGCCCTGCCTTTGCAAAGGACGAGCGGAAGCACAAGAGGCCCTATGAATTCGAGATGGAGAGAGATGTCAAGCAGAGGAGGTTGGAGCAGCTAGCAGCAACGCACGTCCATCCACCCGTTGTGCTGAACGGCTGGCGCGACGCAGCAGTGGACTTGTCCAGAGCCTGCGATGGGTCACCAGGGAGCTCTTCTCCTTTCTCCCTGAACACAAACATGCCCAAACTGGGGACCGTGAACACCCTGCAGGGCTCCCTGGGCATGGACTTGTCTGGCATCCTCCAGGCAGGGCTAATCCATCCTGTCACAGGACAGATCGTAAACGGCAGCCTCCGAAGAGACGATGCTGCCATGAGGAGGAGACGAGGCAGGAGAAAAAATGTAGAAGGGATGGACCTCATCTTCTTGAAGGAGAGGCCTCTTCCAACCAGGCTGCAGGTGGGTTCATGCTCCCCCCTTTCACAGGGCTCCAGTGGAGTCAGCGCAATCTGTCTCATGGTCCAGCTCTCCCGTACAAGCTCTGCTGCCCCTGATGTGGGACATCCTCCAGGACAGCTTGGCTTACTGGGCAGGCAGGAGCAGATACCACTCCAGGGGGGAAGGGACGTTTTCCCTCTGGTTTGCAGCATGCTGCCTGGAGTGTTTGGGTCCTAGTAAGCGTTATCAAAAGCAGCTTTCCCACCTCAGGGTGGAGCTGGGGTTAGAGAACATGAGGAAAGGTCCCTGACTGCATTGGATCTGAGGCCAAGAGCCTGCTGCACCCTTTCTCCTCCTGCCTTGTGATCCGCTCAAAGAAAAACGGGGCTCTGGGAGCAAGACAGGTCCCTCTAGACCACTTCTAGGAGTGATCTGGAGGGAAATTAGTCCTCCTGGTGATGAGGGTGTCTCTAGGTGAGTTTGGAAGCATCTCTGCTCACTCTGCCCTCCGTGCCACCAGTGCTGGGGACGGAGTGGAAGTGTAATGTGGTGGTGGGTGGTGATTTAAGGAACAGGCACTGGGAATATGTGGATTAATCTGTGTGGTGGGAGCAGATGACTTGCTTTGGGAGTTCTGCTTATCTGGGTGTGCATGCATCACCATGTGATGGGCTCTCCCTGCTCCTCCCTCCATGTCAGGATGTTCAGGAAGACCAACCACAGCCCCCCCAGAACAGTCCCCTCCCTGATGGGCCGGTTGCTGCTACCTCAACTCCACAGCCAGTCCCAGCTGCAGGCAGCCAAGCAGAGAAGGCTGTCCCGAGCAAGAGTCTCCTCGACTGGCTCCGTCAGCAATCCGACTACACATTTGACGTTACCGGCTTTGGCACAGTAAGAGTGGCCTTCGGTGGTGTGTGGCTCTGCCTTGTATGTTGCCCTTTGTGTTAGGTTTTCTGCTGTTGCTCTTGAGTTCAGGGCTTCCACAAAGTGTCTCCAAATGCAGCCTTTTTGCCTGTGTCATGGTTTGTGGTGTTCATCATGGCTGTTTGGGAAGGGTCATCACACATTTGAGAGGCAGGCATGATTCTCTTTACAGCAGTGAAAGGCAGTTGCCTCCTCCTGCCCCAGGGTCTGTTCTCCAGCTCCTTTGCATCCATCTTCCCAATGCACAGTCAGTCTAGTGTCTTCCAGAAGTGCCTGGGATGCAGAGAGAAAGGAGAAAAGAGATTTGGGATGCTCAACATCTGTCGGTGTTGCTGCCTTTCATCTGGGGTTGTTTCAGGCAGTGCTGATATATTAAATAAGATTCCCAGGCAAGAGGAAGCTCCTCACTTTAAAAACTGGACCAGAGTGGCTGTGCTGCAGGCTGCAAAGGCTGCGGGTGTGTGGCCACGGGTGCTGTCAGAAAGCAGAGTGGCAGAGAGTGGAGTGCAAAGTCCATCTGATTCTTGCTGTCTCATAAGCATTCATCTCTTGGTTTCACAGCTTGGTTTGCTCCAGGTTTCAGCTAATTTAGCCTATTAGACCATGTGGCAGGCAGAGCACAGGCTGTAAAAGAGAGTAGGAAGAAATGTGGTGGTAATACATAAAAGACTCTGCATCTTGGTCCTGGAGGACTGTGTGCCTGGGGCAGGGATTCCCTGGAGCTTGGAACACAGGCAAGCTGTTAGTGTTTTGGAGCTTGTTAGAGATGAGAGAGGAAGAGCCCAGCATTTGCTTGGGCAGGATGGCCCCTGGTTTTCAAAATCCAAAGATCCATGCAGCTCTGTGCCCAAGGCCAGACTCCCAGGAGCACTGCAGGAAGCAGTCAGATGTTGGAGCAGGCATTGAGGTACCTTCTCACTCCTTTCCATCACCCTTGCCTTCCGTGGAGGCTTACTGGAGCTCATCCAGTCTGGCCATGCTGCTGGTTAACCTCTTTTTCCCAGCAAGCCTCTGGTGCCCTGGGCCAGCCCTGTGGGATCTCCCCTGTCAGGGTGGGTGTCCTCTTTCCAGGTAGGATGGGTTGAAAGCTGCTTAGGGGAACTGCAGCAGCTCAGCTTGGTAAAGGACAGACCAAGCTCAGGGGCTTTTCTTTGACTCGCAGGAATCAGAGCCTGCAGTAGTTCTTCAGAATGCTACATCCCTGCAGGCGCGTTGACACCCAAGACTCGGTGCACGCAGCGAGCGTGCAGCAACTCAGCTGTAACTCCATAGGTTGCAGTCCTGAAGAGCGCTAATCCCTAAGAAACATGGTGCAGCAGCTCTGCAGTGGGAACAGCTGAAATAGGAGTGAAACAAAGCACAGATGAGCTGGCAAGAAGGGGGTAGCTATATCAGACTGACACACAGAGACCTGTTCCCCTTCCTAGTTGAGCACCCCGTGTACCGGTACATGTATATGAATTGGCAGCAGGTTACTGGTTTAGGATTGGAGGGGAATTACAAAGGGCTGGAACAGTCTAAGTGGGATACACTGAAAGCCCCTTTATACATGCAAAAAATCAATTGTGCTAATTTGAGGGCTGGCCCTGTGACAGAGACTAGCTTTTGCCGCTCCTCCTGCTCTCTCCCAAGTCTGCAGGGACCCTCTGTGCCTTGGGAACTCATCTGGGCTGCTCTCCTCCAGGGCTTGTAGCCATCCAGGCTCATTAAGCCGTCTAGTCTCATTAACATTGTCTTGTTTGCACTCCAGAATTTTTCAGACAAACCCAAGCAGAGGAGGCAACGCTGCAAGGACCCCAGCAAATTGGACATTAACTCACTCACGGGAGAGGAGCGGGTGCCTGTGGTACATAAGGGTACTGGACGGCGGGTAAGCAAAGGCCTGTTCTGTGCTCGTCCTTGGTGCCTTGAAATGCTTAGGAGACCCCAAGCTCACCTGGGAAAAGATTTAATCCAGAGAAGCCTCTGAATAGGACAAAAGTCTGGAACATGTCACTGATCTACACTATCCTGTGACACGTGTGTGCCTGAGGGGACACAGACCTGCAGAATAAGTGACTTTCTCTGTGAAGTAAGGAAAGTCTGAGTGTTCGTCCTTGCCAGGGTACACAGACCCTGCAGTGGCAATGGGATTCAGCCTTTGGCTTTAAAGCCACCATCAGAGAGCCCTGGCTGGTGCTTCCCATTCTGGACTTGATTATTCCCCTTGAATTCACTGCAATATGCCACAAATTGTAATATCGCCACGCAAATATCTTTGCTTTATTCCTCCTTACGAGGTGCAGGCAGAGCATGCCAGTACCCATCCAAGTGCTGGATATGCAGGAAGTGGAGGGTTTGAAGGGCTTTTTCTTGCCTACTGAGCAAGGCACATGGATTTGCTTGTCTGCAGTTTAATCTCCAGTGCACTGATGTTCACCTCTCTGAATGAAAAGGGATGTTCAGGAATACCTTCCACCCAAATTCAGTTCTTAAACACACCCAGGACTGCACTAGGTCAGAAGGTGGTGTGACATTATTCACATCTAAAACCAAAAGCAAAGAGTGAAGCAGAAAGAGGCTGTTCCAGCCACATTGTGTTTCCCTCTGCTACACCCACGATGGCCATTGAAGACCTGGGTGAATTGGTGGGTTTGTCTGGTTCTGAGCACAGCTTTTACAGAAGCTCTGTCCCCATCACTTGTTCACGGTGAGGGCGATGGGAAGAGCCACTTGCCTTTTCTTCCTGAACTGTGTGTCTGGAGGCAGCAGGCGCATACTGAGTCCTGCAAAGACGTGTAGCAACAGAAGAGTCTCTGCCCCAGCCAAATTGCAGCCCAAGGCAAGGAGCTAGGGGAAGTGTAATCATATTTCTTGTATTATTTTACATAACTCTTTCTGCAATAGAGGTCATCCTTCTGCTGTGTTTTATAGTTAGGGGGAGCCACAGCACCAGCATTGAAGGAATTGCCAAGGTGGCTTGATGCAAACTTGGAGTATGCTGTTGCAGCTGACTGGGCTGACATTGTTAAGCTTTCAGTAAGTTAGAGCTTTTGGAGAAATCTGTGTCATGTCATCTTTTCTTTCCCCTCCCCATCCCCACAACCTTTCTCCAGTGAGGACCTGGGAGCTGCAAGGCAGGGCCTCAGCCGTGCACGCATGAGGGATAGCTGCAGGGCTGGCAGCACTGGGAGTGCTCACGGGGCAGAGAGGGAGGTTGGGTCTGTGCCACAGCCCGGTGGCAGGAGAGAAGGGGGCCAGCGCCCTGGGAGTGGGGCTCAGCAGCTCAGGGTGACTGTCCAGAAAGCCTTGAGATGCTTAGAACTAGCAGGGGCAAGAAAATGCCCTCAGAGTAATCCTCCTCGGATGCTGCACGGCAGGGAGTGGACAAAATACATTCTCGCGGGTCAAATTTTCAAAGATACCCTCAGTTGAGGTTTTTCATCAGCTCCTGCTAAATCTGCCTGTGCACTGAGCCTGCTAAAGGCCCCGTGGGTCACTGGGCCGGAAGGCTCAGAACCCAGGCCGGGAGAGGGGCAGGAGGAAGCCTCGCCTCGCTGCCTTCATTCACCCTGTTCCTCACGCTAGTCCCTGCCCCAGTGCGTGGCAGAGCCTGGGATCAGGAGCGCTGTCACCACCAGCACATGGGTGCTGCTGGGTCACCCTTCCCTGCCCCATGGGCTGGCCTTATCCAGAGTTCTCCCTGTGGTCCTTCTCACCTGCTCCCTGTTTCTGTGGCTGCACTGGTTTGTGTGATGCCCTTACAGGGTGCTGAAGGGGGAATCTATTGGCTTAGAGGTTTGTACTGCTCTCACATTTGCTTTTAATTAGTGCTGGAAGTTTGGCATGGTATGTCCCACTCCCCAGGAAAGAGCTGCACGTCCGGGCTGGCATCAGCGCCCTGTCCGGGTGGCCAGCACCACGCACTGGCAGCTCTTCCTTGCCTTCATTTGCAGGGGACGGTCGCTGCGGCTAGGAGTAGCCATCTGCCAGGCCACCGCCCCGAGCAGCCTCTCTTGTGCCCTGGTCTGGCAGTTGCATGCTCATTAGCATTCACACCCCTAAGCCCCATCAGCACTTGGCTTTTGGCGAGTGCTCATCTGTCCTGGCACGTGCATGCAGAGGGATGTCGGGCTGCTCTGGGCGCTTGGGCAGGTGGGAGCCTGGGGTCGGCTGCCCCGCGGAACCCCTGGGGCATGGTCCCATGCAGGTTTTCCCACGTGCCAGTGGGAGGAGCGCAGAAGTGTGGGATCCTAGCAGAGTGCCAGTGAGAGGAGTGCAGAAGGAGTGGGATCCTGGCAGTCTGCAGGGAACACGCCTTGGCAGTCTGCAGAGCACAGCTCTTGCCCAATGGGCAAGAGCTGTGCTCTGCAGACTGCCAGGGTCATTTGATTCCAGTTTCTGCACTGCAGGCGTCAATGGCAAGTGTTTTTCCTACCTAAATCTAAATCTGAAGCAGTTCAAAGAGCAGCGATACTAAAACTCAAGGGAGACACAGAGGGAAAGGTTTAAGTGTCTGTGATGAGGATGCTAAAAACAGAGTTTTAAACTGCACTATGGATCCCCCTGCACTGCTCTGTGTAGCTGGACAGTCTCGCCCAGTTGTGGCCGCTGGGTTTGGGTCCCATATCTGAATGCTCAGAAGAACCTTCCTGGTGTCTCAGCAAAGCTCTAACCTCATGCTCCTCAGACAGCATGTCCACTCTCTGTGTGTCATCCCATGCAGCTTTGCTATCCTGCAGAGCATTGAGAATTTGGCCCTTTGCATCTAAAAGATTTTTCACCTGTTGCTGAAGCCAGGATTAAAGCTGGGAAGGGAGCTAAATTGGCATCTGACACAGAGCTGCCCTAGTGCTTCTCGTGTTGTGAATAGCCAGTGCTGAGGGCTCGGGTGAAAATCAGGGTAAGAAGGTGCTTCCTCCTTTCCTTCCTGTGCACTTTGTCACTGCAGTATCATGCCAGGGCAGAGTGAGGGTGTTTTGCATTTGGCAGCATCCCTTGGGGAAAAGTTGTGCGTACCTCTCAAATTCCATATCATGTGGGCAAATACTTCTGTGCTGACACCATCTGGGATGCAGACGCAAGCACAGAAAAGCAAGATTTCCTTTGATGCAGTAGTAACTGTCCGTGTCTTTCTGTTGTGTTTCATTTTCAGGGCTACTTACCGGAGAGCAAATTCAACCGCATCCTAACCGAGCCTGTGCTCCGAGACGCAGGGCCGCGCCGGAGGGGGAGAAGGCCCCGAAGCGAACTCATTAAAGGCCCTGGCATTGTAGCAGATACTTCTTCTGGAATGGGACCATTGTTCATGAACGGACTGATTGCTGGGATGGATCTAGTAGGACTTCAGAACATGAGAAACATGCAAGGGATCCCTCTGACCGGGCTGGTTGGGTTTCCTGCTGGATTTGCAGCAGTGCCCACTGGTGAGGATGTGAAAAGCACCCTCAGTATGTTGCCCATGATGCTGCCAGGCATGGCTACCGTACCACAGATGTTTGGCGTTGGAGGACTTCTCAACGCCCCCATGACAACTACTTGTACTGCGACTGCTCCGGCTTCGTTAACAAGCACAACGAAAAGTGGTACAGCCAGCACGGAGAAAGCTACTGAGGAGAAACAGAGCAGCCAGGATGTGAAAAAAGAAACTCTCTCGGAAGATAAGCCCGGTCCTAGTTCGTTTTCTAATCAGACAGAATCCGCAATAACTACCAGTAGTCCTGTAGCTTTTAACCCGTTTCTTATCCCAGGGATGTCTCCTGGACTGATCTATCCCTCAATGTTTCTTTCCCCTGGCATTGGCATGGCGCTGCCCAGCATGCAGCAAACCAGACACTCGGAGGCAGCGAACCTGGAAAGCCAGAAGCGGAAGAGAAAGAAAGCGAAAGGGGAATCGGCAAACCTGGAGCCAGAAACTGTCTCGCTGCCGGAGAAAGAAGCTGCGAACACTCAAAACTGTACAGAGCAAACGCCGCCGTTGTCGGCAGAGAAAGAGCAGGATGGACCAGCAGAGGAGGAGCGTGAAGCGGCTCGCGATACCGATTAGAACTTTGGTTTCATTGAAAAAAAAAAAACAAAACACAAAAAGATTGTGGCTTGTGAGTTTCTTATCCCATAAACTCTTTATTACTTACCCTCCCACCCCGCTCCGTCTTCATAAACCTGTGTTTCCATGAGTAATATTATCTACCTAATTCCCTGTCAGAAAAAACTCTGGTGACATACTACATGTTAATAGTTGCAGGGTCTTGCCACTTTATTAGATAAACAGTGTTGTCTAGCTAGTATGGGAGGCACCGAATTCTCATTCTGTTTTTCCAGTTGTTCACCCCAGCCGATGATAGCAAATCCAGTACTCGGTCACCCCCCCCAAATTTCTCACTCCTTTGAGAAGAAAAAGCAGCAAAACAACAGGAGCAAAAGAAAAGTCTTTACCTCTTGGTCTACACGCAGACGAGGGTATTTCTGTCTACAGCAACACTGAACGAAAAAGCCTGTATTTGGGGGTAAAAAGCACAGGTATAGTAAGTGCTAATGTGTATTTTTTATTTAAAGTATTTCCCTATTTTATCATGGTTACTAGAATAGTAGTATAGACAGAAGTATATAACTAATGATTGAAAATGCATATATTCATTTCTTTGAAAGGAAAAAGCATAACTGGTAGTGATACAATTTCTTTATCACCCCCACCCCAAAGGTTTGGAGACAAACTGCAGCGAGTGAAAATATGACATAGACATTCTTTTGTACTTTTTAAAACCAAAGTTTGGTTTTACGTTAAGTGGAGTTTAGTTGCCCTTTCTTCGATAGTTACAAGAACTTTTCAGCTTGAGCTGGAAAGGTTTTGCACACCTTGCATGATTTTTTTGGGATTACTGTACCTGTAGCTACCAGTTTCTTCATCATTCTGCTAGTCTTCAGTTCTCCTCTGTGGCGTTCGTTCTCATCTGTGGCATTAGAAGTGCTGTACAGGTAGTTTTTTTCCAGCCGTGAACAGGCCACACCGATTTTGATGCTCTTATATGAACACTGAGGCTTTTTGAGTTTTTATATTTTCCACTCCTTCCCCCAGAAGCAACGTCCTTTCAGCAAACAAGGAAAAGGCTGTAGGCCAGCTTTCCTGTTTGGGGAGCCCTCTAAGAAGGACCCTTGAGACTTTCAGAGCTTGAGTTTCTTCTTTTCTAGCGTTAGACTGTGAAGAGATGACCTTGGCTTCTTCTTTCCATTCCGTTTGCTGTTGAACAGTATTTCCGAGTCCCACCCCCATTGGCAAATGATTTCGACGTCTTCATTTTAAATGGACGGGTTTCAATGCCATCAGCCCCCCGCAGCTCTGGGTACTGAGACACCTCCACAGGCAACTCTTCTTATTTCTCCTTCCCCTCACTCCTTGTTTAATCTTCCTTTCACTTGGGCTTGTTCCGATTTGCAGCTCATGTTTCGAGACTTGAAATAAACCCACGGTGGTGCGGCAGTGAGATGAAAGGCAGGCTGGTGAGGGAGTTGGGAGCGTGCTAGTAATCGGTTTCACATTTGGTTGTCACAATTTACTGTATTTTTTACTTATTTTCTGTTACAGTTTTGCTAATTTATCAGATGGTCCAAATGTTTTGACATAACTATTTCAGTTTGCATTATTTATTTATGATGCTTTTTGTCATTGTCTTTTATACATTTGGGATTATAAATTATGTACATGTTAAAATTAGCATCTCAAAGAAGTCTGTTACCCATGGTCTGAAAAGTATTTGCTTTATGTTTTCACGGAATTTATTCCCTGTTTACTGGATTGGATGACTTTTTTTAAGTATGTAACCAATCAGAATGCAACACCCCACACTCCCACACCCTCCCCCGATAATTAAATGTCTTCTATTTAATAAGATCCTTGTAGCATAGATACTGTATCACTATTGACAGATTTCTTAGAAATGCTGCTATCTCTATTTAACTAACATTTTGTTCAGTTTTGCCTCCAGTGGAAGCAGAAAGGGTTTTTTCAGCTGTTAAATCCAAAATCAATATAATTTATTTATGTAAAAAAAATCACGATTGATATATTTTTGAACCTTTTAAGTACTAACTTTCTTTTTATTCCGTAGAAGAACATGTACTTGCCCTAAATCCTTAAAATACAAATGCTACAAAACTTCATATATCTTCAAAGCCTTACTGTGAATGGATACAGAAATCGCTTCAGAGTCCATTTCTTGTTACAGGATGGTTTTTCCAGGGTTACATGCATAAGGAACAGGGTTTGAAATGAAATTTATTTAATTAGCCAGCATGCTCTATACCTTGTTCTTCCTTATCAGACATGTATGCTACGTCTCTGGGTGTTTAGCCTACTCTTTGACTGCTACTTTGTGACCCTTTTGCAACCCGATATACTCTGTGGATTATTTAGACTGTAAGGCGTAAGTGGCTGCTTCTTATTTTCCATCATATCCAAAACAAATGCCAAATCTTCACCAGTTTTCATGGCTACTCACACAAACATACATTCTTCACCAAATGCGCTAACAAAATAAACTGTCTGGGCTCTTGAACATGGATAAAAAGAAAAAGATTTAAAGGTCAGATTTTTATTTTTTTAATTTAGTGACTAGATGATGCTTATCTTTCAGACTTGGCAGAGCCTTGCTACAGATGTATATAATTTTTTTCAGCAAATATATGTGAATGTTTAATTCACCTGACTCAGTGATAAACGTTACTTGCCTTTTTCTCAGCACAAGTCCATTGAGAAGCCGTCAAACCCAGCGAACTTCTCCCGTCTTTAGGGTTGCTCTTCGTGCACTGTGAGATGTGCGTTGCTCTGAAGGGCTGCTCACAGCTGGCTCGCCAGCTTTTCCTGCCTCGGAAGGAGCTTGCCGGGCTAAACCCCCCGCTGCGGCCAGCAGCTCTGTCACCCAGCACCGTGGGTTAACTCACTGTCCCCTGTGGGTTGCGAGACCACGGGAGCAGCCCAAGCTCCTCGGCCAGTTTAAGCACGTGACGGTGTGTGGGGTCTCTCTGCCGACCCACTTCATCCCGAGGACGGGAAGAAGCCCAGAGACCAGGCATGAGATCCCCCCGTACCAGTTACAGTCCTTTGCACTTACGGGGCACCTCCCGGCAGAAGAGGGGTTCAGTTCCTCTTGCTGAGATACGGAGCGCCTCCATCTAGGCCTTGTAAAATGGTCATAGGTGCCAAATAAATGCTTGTCATGAATCTCAGTGTAAGGAAACCATGCTTCGGAAAAGTAGGTACTCATTCCGTTCTTCAGATGAATAAACAGATGCGGAGGAAAAGCTAAGTAATTTCCTTGAGGTCCAGGGAAAAAGGCATAGAGTGAACCAGGAGTTTTTGTTTGCTCCCCCTGCCCTTGCATTAACACCTTGTTCTGGCAGTTCGTTGTGTTTATTCTGGGGAACAGGAAAGCACTGGGCAGAAGAGGCATCAGCTGTCGCTTGGGCAGGGTCAGAGGAGACAAACAATGGTGTGAACTCTGAATTTCCAGTTCCTGAGTCTCCCACTAAATTCTGGGTCCGCATACCGCAGCCTTCCACCCCGGCATCGTTTCATGCAGAAGAGTTGCTGGAAATACCTGCAGAAACCAGCCGGTCCCCTGGTACAGGGAAGCATTCGCACTGGCATTTACGCCGTCAGTCGCTGGTGGCCGCGGCATGCCATCTCGTCCGATGAGGTGTGTCCCTCACCGTCTGGGAAGTGGTCCGTGGATGTAGCTCTGGAGGTGGGCGCAGTTCCCTCCCTGGGTTTTGTTCTGCAGGATACAGGTGCCCATTGCCGGAGCGGGAGGAAGTAAACACCCCACAGCTGCTCATCTCTGCACTGTCCCTGCCTGATTTTTGTCTCGCGGGACACGGAACAGGAACGTATCGTTGCATTTTAGACACGATCTTTCATCCTCTGGATGGTCATAAAAAGGTTGTTTACGGTTTCCCTCAGCACCAAACAGCGGTGGGGTGAGCATTACCTGCCCTAAGGACAGGGATCACAAGTCTGGTGTCTTGATGGAGTTACAAGCAAGGATTTCAGGTCCGAAATCCTTTCTGGCAGTGAGCACAGGGCAATTCCTCTACAGCATTTGATTTGTATCGAAGACGACTTGAGCTTTCAATGTATTTGTATTTTCCATCTCTTCAGGAGCTGCAGGGCTGTGGAGCACAGGCTGAATCACAGGAGACCACTAATTCTCGTCACTTTTTACAACTTTAAAGCATATCAAGTGCTTTCCCCAAGAGGTGAAGGCACCGTTCGTGGTCCCCAAGTGCTTTGCATCACGCGTACCAGCGCACGGCAGCCCACAGCCGGCCGGGATGGCAGGGTGCTGGGCCACAGGCACCGAGCAGAGGGGTAGTGCTGCCAGGCAAGGAGCTGGCCCGGCGGCCGGCAGAGCAGCAGCTCTGGAAAACCAGTTGTAAGAGAAAGCTGGCTAATCTCTTGTTTCCCTTCCCAGCTCTCTGGGGCATAAGGTGCCCTTTACAGCTTGTGTAGGTGGCCTGGGAGCATTGTCCTTGGCCTCCTGCTCTGGCTTTTGGGGTGTTTGTGGTTTCACGGTGCACCCAGGGGTGACTCAAGGCCATCGGTGCAGTGATGAGGCAGCACTAATTCCTGGAGAATCTAGATTTCACCGCAAAAGGCATAAAACAATCAATGCAAGATCTCCAGCCCAGTAGAAAATAGGTCCCACTCCCCCATCTTGCCTCGTCAGCCCTCTAGTGTGATTTTAGCTGGAGGAACGGTTTCGTTTCGAGGAACAGTTTCCCTGTGGTCCGGATGGGGATGTGCCATGACTGGTCTAGCCTGGAGTTCAGCCCCAGCCCTGCTGAAAGCATCTGTTTGCACAAGACCAGCACCAGCCCAGGGGGGTTTCAGGGACAAGCAACCGAGGGGAGCAGGAGTCTGCTCGGCTCTCTCCTGCCAAGCATTGGCTGTGGGATTTTTCAGACGGGTATGTTGCAGCGGAGGGTGACGTTTCTCAGGAATAGCCTGTGCCTTTTCGAAAGTCAATGAAAAGTTTTTGAAGGAAAACCCCAGAGTGACTTTTTTCCCCCAGGAAAAGGGCAGAGATTGCTAATAGAGGAACACGTGCACAGAAAGCAAAGCCGAGTCCCGCCAAGGAAGGCACATCTTGGTTGCTGAGGGAATGAAGTATCCCTGCAGGGACCTGCATAGCCTAGTTCTCAGCAACCGAATGCCTTTCCCAGCCTTCCACAGCAGTCAGTTTTCCGTGCTCCAACAGCAAATCTTTTTACAAGCACATCCAGGTGCTGGACTAGAGCATCGTTTAGGGGAAGTAACATTCTGGAAAGGGCAGGGCTGAGCCGATTCCCCGTGAGGCACCGGCCCCACCAGCCCGTGGCTCCCCCCGAGATGTTCCCCGGCCTTTGCGCAAGAA